TTTACCGAATGTTCTTTTGCATATCCATAGAGCATTGGTAGCTTTGTTTATTGCCTGCTCTAGATGCATGTTCCAATTAAGTTTACTATCTAGGATTACTCCAAGATATTTGACAGCATTAGAAAGTACCAAAAGTGTACCATTCAATCTTATGTTGTCTAATGAAAATCTCTTCCTTCACGCAAATGACACAATAGTAGTTTGAGAAGGACTTATGTTCAATCCTTCCCTATCAAACCACGATGAGACATAATTTAAGGCAATTGGTAATCTGTTAGCGTTGATAGAATCGTATTTGCCACGTACAATTATGACTATACCATCTAACGAAGCTAATTATTTCATAGCCTTGGGCTATTAAATTTTTTAGAAGATCATCTACTATTAACAACCACAATAGAGGTTCCTTACACTGATGAGTGCGCTTCCAAGGTTCGCTGATATTTCTCTTTTCGATGACATCTCAGCTTCAATGCCAAGGAATGCAGCAAGTGAAATTTACTTTACTTTAGAAGAACTTTATAGTTTTGTATCAACCGTATGGAGTGCTGTTACTGATAACTTACCTTCCTGGTATGCAAACTGATATTTGCTCAGAGGATTTCTTACTAGATATGATGACTTTATGTGTTCATCTATTTTTTCCATTATTTTTAGCACAATAGACGATAAGCTCATTTGCCTGAAGGATTTTGGGGAAGTTTTATCCTTTCTATTTAGCCTTGGGGTTAAAAATAACCAACTCTTGTGGCCACACTGTCGGTATATAGCTTAATATTAAGCTTGCTCAAAATAGCTTTGTTAGAATATGCGTTAAAACCACTTTTTCCTTCTGTAGCAGTACAGGAAAAATTCCATCCCTACCTGGTGACTTGAAAGGTTCAAAGGAGTCAATCGTCCATTCAACTTTTCTTTCAGTAAAGATTTTGTTGGCCAAAGTGCAAGCATCAGCTCTTGTTCTCTCTAACTCAGTCGTTTTATTCAATATTTCATGAATATCCGTCCTGGTTCCATCGATACCAATTGCTGTTGTCGTTGCGTTTTGGTCTTCGTTTGAAGTGATAATAGAATATGGAAAATGTGTTCTCATTATCAACTCTAACGTTTCATTATTAAAAGTAGTAAAAGAGCCATCCTCTTTTTTCAAAGTGCTCAGCCCATTGGAATGATCTTTAGCGAGTATTTTCTGCAACCTAGCAGTTGCTGGAGTATTTTCAATGCTCTCACATGTATGCTTTCAGTGTTTTCTCTTTGATCTCCTTATTTACTGATTATAAGCGGTGAGGGAGTCCTTATATTACTCACACTGTTGTGTTCGTTTAACCCTGTTGAAAAGCTTCTGGGTCTTTTTACGATGTTTCTGCAGCCTGTTGTTCCACCAAGGTACATCCCTGTTTGTAGAGCGTTCCTTTTCGATGCAACTCTCATGGAAGGCATGTTGGATCAAATCTGAAAGTAGTATACGACTATTCTCGAGTGTTTGAGCTAATTACTATCGTGCCTCTTCCTGTCACTAACTCTGAATTATATAGCTCCCAGTCTGTTTTCCTATGATCTCTAAAAGTTTGTGTGAGCTGGTGACCAGCCTCACATTCAAATAATGTTTGTTTGTGATCAGACAAAGATATTTCGTCTGATACATGCCAATTTTTTCTTTTGTCCGAGATTAGTGAACTACAAAAAGTCAAATCAGGACTTCTAGTCTAAATGCATTAATAAAGGTTGGAGCATCTCTTATGTTACACATGTCTACATCATTGTTAGAAATATAATCTAAAAGGCACTCACCTCTGGTATTGCTGTCTGTGCTAGTCCATATCGTGTGATGAGCATTTGTATCACAGCTAATTACAAGCAGGCTTGCAATCACTCATTACAGCTAAAATGCTATTTTTTCGTAATTAAGAAACAATGAGATACTATAACGATAATTTTTATTTGTAAGATGCAAGAAGAGGTGGTAAAGTTTGTGTGTGACACATAAAATTTGTCTATTTTGCTTTCAGAAGGTCACAATTAGCGATTAGCTGTAACGATGAGCAACGCGATGAGCGAGCAATCAGCGATCATAAAATCGCTAGTTGTGACCTTCTGAAAGAAACATTGACAAATTTTATATGTCATACACAAATTTTACCAATAGCATTTTAGCTGTAATGAGCAATTGCAAGCCTGATTATAAATGCCTTATTTTATATCTTGTAGTACGCCGCTACTTCTGGTGGAAGTAACATAGATTTCCGTTTTCCCGTGAGTTGTTACAACCACCAGCATGACCACAACAATGTCTCTTTTTTATAAATTCTGTAATAAAAATAAATTTACTGTTCCATAAACTAAAATTGCAGCTCTTGGAGCTAATTTCCTTTCATCGGAAATTAACTTTCAAGATGTATTTAGTAGGAACTCCTAGTATCCTACTTTTATTTGTCCATGGTTCCTGCATAAGGGCAATGTTCAGTTTTCTCTCTGTGAACCTTTTAAAAAGTACAGCAGTTGCTCCATTCGCATGGTGAAGGTTCACTTGAACAAATTTGATTTTATTGTTGTTGTTCGCCGTGCGCATGGAGATTTCCCCAACACTGCTTTTGTGGATCCCCTTATTTGGATTATTTCCTGCTTGGGATTTCGTCAATTTGATCTACGATCATCTTGTCATTACCAGTGTATACGTAGGTCTTTTAAGAGTTACCATCATCCCTTTGCCTTAATCTTTCACAACCATCATGTAGATTTATCTTTTGGAACTTTTTTCTTATCTTGGAATTTCCAAACTTTAAATCAAGGATGAATTTACTGTTTTTGATGAAGTTCAAGGATCCTCCGTCTACAGAGAAAACTAGTTCTACATGTTGGTTTTTTAAGTTGCACTGCAGTATCGTCCATGCATCGTTTTGACTTTCTAAGAGAGTCAGAATTTCTTCATTGTTGTCCTCTGCACCAGGCATGGCCAATCATTGTTCACAAAAGTTGTAGCTAATATCAAAATCTACATTTAACGAAATTTCCTTGAAGGAAAAAGTTGGACGCAAATGAATGTAAATGAATGCACGAAATGAATGTAAATGATTTACCATGCCATTTCCATTTCATACACTGCTAACAGCCCTGCCGCTGACCAGGGAGAAACTGTAGAAATAATGCTTTTTAGCCAGTCTGCAGTTTCTTTATTTTTACTGACTTGAAAACACAATCGCCAAATTTTGGTTTCAATTGTGCTATCCGTTGTCAACCAGATACAGCCAATTTCATAAACAACCTAAAACCATTACAAACAATCAACTGACCAGGCTAGCCTCATCCTATCATTACTTATTGAATTTTACTTAATTCTTTCTTCCCTAAAATTCACTTGTTAGCAAATATATGATCGATGATCTGATTAATTTTTGTATTGGTTAAAATAACAACTTCCACTATTGCCAATACTGCCGGTGGACGCATAATTGTCTCATGTGTCATGGAATTTCATATACACATCGGAAAATTATGCTTCCAGCGGTAGTATAGCTAAAAATAGACCAAATGAGGACATTTATTCTACACATTTAAGGCCTAGTTGCGTTACTATGTGGGCATCCTATTCTTCCCACGAGATCAGCCTAAAAGTAAAATCTTGTCTTCGTCCGTCTTCAGTAACTTCAGTAATTTTGTGTGACAAAATGCTTCATTCTGAGATTAGTCTCCTATCTAAAGCATATTTTGTTTTGGGTGACTAGTTCGATCACGGTCACCTGACTCTATCCCAACGCACCCTGTCATGGGAAATGGTATTCCCAAATGCCACAAACGAACACACAACAGGACACACAGCCTTAACGCAAGCATTCACCCTGTTCGAAAATACATAAATTATTTACCAAATGAATGAAAAACAATTTGAAAAGTGAACTTTTTAGTCGTTTTCCTTAAAGTATTTGGAATAGAGATTGTTAATTTTCAGCTCTAAAGCAAAAACCACAGGTTCAGGGATGATAGTAAAAAAAAACCAGCATAGTTTTTATGACTCAGCTGAGTTATAAATTGCAGTAAAGCATACTTTGGCAAAACATGTATGGAAACAAACTGGGGGGATCGAGCACTCCTGGTTCAGAGCTTTTGGCGGGAATCAACTGAGAAAGAGCAACACAGTTTTAACTTGAAACAAAAATTGCAATCAGTTTTTCATTGGCTTGCAAATAAAATCAATCGACTCCACAGTATTCAGGGTCCAACCAACATCATTTATCCTATAATAATGCTGTAAGTTGCCCCGTTTAACGGTGGCAGAGGGAAACGGCAGTCGTATTTTAGTGGAAAAGTGTTGTAATCTTGCAAGCCATAAAGTTAACATTTTTGTTTTGTTTTTACCCTCGATAATCAATTGTCAGTTTTTTTTATATTTGACAACAACCGTGTAGCAAACAGTCAGTATGTTTTATGTTTTTATTTAGTGAGTACCTATTTATTCCACTACTGATTTTCCAAACAAATATTTAAGAACCCAGGAGTACTTCAGCAAATTACAGCGCATGTATGTGTTTAAATTTTGGAAAAAAATAATCATTTTATCTGTCAAAAAAAGCTAATTATATTTAATTTTTACATGTGTCCTTTAAATTCCAATGCACTGTAAACAAAAACACAAAATAATAGAACTCCGTGCAAAAGCTCCGCATTCTTTGGTAGCCTTCTTTATCTTATGTTCGACAATGGCAACTTCACCGCGATGATATCATTCGATTCGCTGGTAGCTTTCTGCATAATAAATAACATTTAATTGTTTTCAACCATTTCTCTCGTTCTACCACCTCTCCGCGCCGCGCCGCCGGGTCATTAATTTACTCACCCAAAATTTTACAACCCATTGAATAGCCTCTGAAATGACGTTTTACCTACTACCTACCTAGTACCTACTACTATAAGTAGAAGAAAGCTGTCGGAGTTGCTGGCCGCGACTCGAGAAAAAGCACCTCCATTGTATTCTTTTCTCTTTTTCTCTCTGTGTGTTTCTTTTCTAGTTTCCCTCTTGCTTTCAACCGGTTCCACGCCACGGACAGATGACAGTATAGTCTCGAGAGTTGTTGATACCGAGAAACGGTGCGCGGGATGAAATTTTGCGACCGCCTGTTCCCCCTCGCAACACTCCGGTTGACTTAAATCAAATGGCTAAAATTTATGATCCGAGCTTGCTGTCCCACTACTGTCTGTCTATCTGTCTGTCTCTCCGTGAAAACCGTTGCTGCCGCACTGTACCTTTCCTCATGTACCATTATATGTATACATTCACGGTAGAGGCCGCGATCCCACAAGAAAGCTGCAAGAACGGTAAATCTACGAGAAGAATCTCTCTATTTTTATTAGCCTCCCCTATTCACCCCCTATTCTCAGCCTCACATCTCCCTCTCTAGCTCTGACAGACTGACATTCCATGTGTTGAATCACCACCGCCACCCTGTTTCATGTTTTACCCGATATGTGTGTGTGTGTTGTAATGTCAAAATCTGTACCATCGCGAGACACCTGTCAATAATAGCAACCAAACTCAGCACGCGGTCGTTAAACAGAAATCGAAATCGTCCTCATCCTGGCGACGATCGCGGTCAACTAATCACCGAACTACTGCGAATGCACTAAACAAGAAAATCGCGAGAAACTGCCATTCGTACGCTATCGTGTCCGGGACACATCTCTAATCCTGTATCTAATCTGTCTGACCTGTTTAACCTTCAGTATTTTGGACGATGGCTAGTAGCTTATCTTCTGTCACGAAAGGCACGCGCTTACCGTTCTTCTAATAAATGAAAAGGTATGCGGGACGCTTTCTCATGCCGCTGGATATTTGCAAATCATTTGTAAGTCAAGTTATCTTCATTCTAATGTTAGTCTAAATAGCGCTAACAAAGATAATTTAACACTTTCCTTTTATAGATGCTAGCCGGTATTAATATTAGTTAGATTAGTCATATGTACAGTGGTCGTTATTGTGTTTAAAAGATGTTCTCACATAGGTGATTCCAAAGTAATACGTATGGAAAAACAATCATTTTGAAAAATGTGAAGTCATTATTCATAAGTATAAAGTTTACAAACATGTAGATACCATGTAGACCTAATAAGTTAACACTGAAACAGCGTTAAACATTGTCACCGCTATTACGCACCTCAGTGAAGCAGTTCATTTCTCTTCAGTGTTCTTCACCGATAATTCAGACATTCCAGCTCTTGTAGCTAGTGCTAGTGCTTTAAGAACGTTGGAGAGAATTCGCGCTACGAAACATGGCGGACATGGCATTATCGCTCAAAGATTGACACTTGGGAACGGGATTTTTCGGTAGAGTGACCGAATAAGAAAAAAGCCGCCATGTTTCACGCATCCACTGACGTTTGCTTATGAGAGTTCCCCATAGAAGTAAAGAGTTACAGAAGCTTCGTAGACGCGAATTGCATCTCTAAGTGCGCTGTTTTTCTTCTCTCCGAGGAGCGAGTGAAAATTGACAAAATATTAAGTTGCCAACTCTCACGCTCTTCGGTTTTGTTAATCGGTTATCGGCAAAGCTCGTAGAAACGACCGAAGAGTCTCTCAAGTGAACTATATTTCATGCACCGGTGTGCTGTACTATAGAGACTTATAACAACTTAATCATATCTGAATGCAAAGATCTCTTGAGTGCCTTACCTAGTGAGAACCCTGCGCACCTGCAGTAGTGCTAAGGTCGAAGACTAACGTGAAAGGCTTCCATCCTGGGGCCAGTTCAAATTCCTATCGACTTGCTCGATTTCCTTGCTGAGACCCCTGATCCGATCCAGCATTTTCTAGCTGAGAGTTATTCGCTCCAATGAGATAACTGCTAACTCACTTTGCATACACTGACGAGAGTTGCATCTCTGCCCAATCGTTCGCACAGAGAAGAAAAAAATCCACACAGAAGGTTTCCAGCTCTCCTCAATTTGTATTCTCTTTGTACACTTTGAGAGGTAAAGCAAATTACTATTTAGTCATATTTTTATTACTCTGTTCCTTACATTGTAACATTGTGGATTCAATAGCAAACATAGAAAACTAAATGTGCACAGTCTCCTCAGCAACAAAAGACTCATTTTATCGTGGTGCTTTTTTCCAATGGGCATTCAAAGTGTGTCTAAGGTCTTTCTTAATTGGATAGGCTTTAGAAACGGGAAAAGCTGGGAAAGTGCAAAAGCAACCGAGGGAAGAGCTTTCGCTTTATGGAACGGTATCCGGAGCGAGATTTTTTCATCTTTGCTTCCTCTGAGCAGCATTACATGTCCACTTGAAAGGATGATACCGCTTGTTAACACTCAAAGAGCTGTGATCTGCTGGATAATTTTTGTAATCCAAATATAAATGTTTGAATCGATTCCTTACATGAACTTGCAATTGAGTTCCTTAATTTATATGGAGTAGAACGGGTAACGCACGCCATTAGTCCAAATGCCGATAGGCCGAATGGGTCATTTAACCGAAATTAAAATAATTGTTCATCATTTGGCATCTGTATTGTTTCGGGTTAAGAAATTAAAGAGCATTGTAAAATTGTAAAAACATCTCAACTAGAGTAATTGTAAATTGTAAAAATCTTCATCTAAAGTAATGTCTTCAGATGAAAACATTTAAATTAAAAAAAAAAACTGTTCTTGTTAAAAGAAGGAGAATAGGCTAAATAGGTGAAATAGTTTTTATATACCGGGTCTTGGATTGTTTTTTTTTCATGATTTCAAAATTGGAATCTTAGTTTTCCAAGGTTATCTCATAATTCAGATCATGTACGCAATTCTTTTTTCCTTAAAAGTCCATATCAAAGGTTTTTAACCTTTGCGTGCGTAACGTCTGAATTTGTATATATTTCAAAATTCAATTAGCTCTATAAACATAATTTCTCAATCTTTTTCTTCACAACAAATTGCATTTTGTCGGGAATCTATTGAAGTTTTTGAAACTATCTGAAAATATTTGGATCAATACATGGTTCCGGAGTTATTCTGGTTCCCGTTGGAGTCACTTTTGGTCGGCATTCGACTTTACTGTTCTGTAATAAGTATACACACGATGAACATCATGTTTTTCTCTCAAATTATGTAATTCAACCAATGGCAGCTATACCGACGGTCCACAATCACATTTCGCATCCCGGAAATGTTCCCGTGCCCTGGGGAAGTGGCCAATTCTCAACAAGAACCAAAACCCATCATGAGACATATCAAACTTCACGATTTTACAAATCTTGGCCGGTAATGGCCTTATTGAGAGTCCATGGTCACACTAGCCCTCCCGGGAATGTTTTGGTGCCCCCGGGGAAGTGGTCAATTCTTAACAAAAAGAAAAAACCCATCATGCGACATATCAAACTTCATCATTTGACAAATTTTGGCCAGTAATGACCTTATTGAGAGTCCATGGTCACACTAGCCCTACCGGGAATGTTCTGGTGCCCCCGGGGGAAGTAGCCAATTCTCAACAAGAACCAAAACCCATGTCATTCGTGATTTGTCTGGGGGTGAGATTTGATCTCGTGACTTTGGCGTGAGAGTATGGATGTTAAGCGCTACGCCGGAGTTGCCCCTTTTTTGAAGATTTTTTCGAAGATCATATTGAGTTCAATCTAACACTTTTAAATTCTCGGTCTTATAACCCATACGACCTAGTGGCCTTTGGCCTTTGCGTGGGCGTGCTGGAAATTTCAGAAAATTTACGTTTGCAGTCATTGATTTCATTTGTTACTTTGGACCTAATGCAAAATTTCTCGAAATGCCGTTTTCAATATTTTACAATAAATCATAGCTTGAAAAAGTCAATTCCAATCGAAATCCTATTTCAGACAGAGATGTAGGAAAAACTAAAGCCAATCCAAGAAAGAAATACACAGTCAATTTTTATTAGTAACTTTTGGAAACATATAAAAATGTTAAAAACTTTAAAACTAAGACTTGCTTATGAAAAAAAAATGCCTGAAAGGAAACAAAACTATCGGCTTTCACTACCGAAGAAAAAATAATCATGGTTGCTTTTCTCGAGAGAATTGCTGCGCTAGATGGGGTGTTTACACTTATGCTATTTCACTAGCGCTAATGAGCCAGCTGCTAGCAAAAAAGCTCACCAGCATACTGTATCAGCGTCTACCAGCATAAGATTTCAGGAGCAACTGAAATTCGTACTAGTTGGCTAGTACAAGAGCACTAGCAAATCCACACTGATGTAAACACCCAATGAACAAAGTTCCCTCGCTCTTTGCATTATCTTTTCATCCTCTGTACGGGTGAAAATTGCCGGTTCTCTTCTCTTCTTCTTCTTCGCATTTCAAGCTTATTGCATATCGCATATTAAGCTTATTGCGTGCTCTCAACTTAGTGTTCTAGATGCACTTCCACAGTTATTAATTGAGAGCTTTCGATGCCAACCCGAAAAATTCCTAGACCGGACCGGGAATCGAACCCAGCCACCTCCAGCAAGGTCTTGCTTTGTAGCTGTGCCTTTACCGACTGAGCTAAGGGCCCCCCTCTTCTCACATCAGCGATAATTTCGATCCCTGGTTTGAATCACTCTCGACTGAAAATCTATGCAAACTTTTGGCAGGTCACCCAAGCAACAATGTTGGTTTTCGGAGACGAGTCAGCCAACGGCTGAAAGTCTCCTTAATAAAGATATAAAAAAAAAAAAAAACAATGTTGGTTTAATGACGGTTCTGTAGACCATGATTTAGACTACTAGAATGCTTTAAACCAATATAAAACATGCAATGTTGTTAGGGAGCTTCTTCACTTGCTTTGCAAGTGTAAGTTCACATACCAACTCTCTAGTGGCTTCGGTTTAGTGGTGCGATGGCAATAACTCTGGTATGGACATTGTTTGAAATCAAATATTGGATATTGACGATATACCATCAATAATGGTCTGTTTCGACATCATGTGCTACATAAAATCACATCATTTCAATACGTCTAATGGAATTCTTTTGGACCACTTTGGTAGTCACTCCTTATTATCTAGGTTGGAGCATCTATAGATTCTACACCCAACCGGGAAATGTAAGATTCTATAACAGATTTGCATAAAAAAGCATGCAGACTTTATAATGTATCACCGCGTGAACAGTTTCTGTAATATTGTAGTCGGAAGGGTTTGTTTTTTTAAAAGTAGTTGTAATTTTTATGTTAGCTTACTATTCAAATCAAGTTTGTTTCTCCAAATGCAATCCAAATTGTTTCTCCAGAAATTCATCTTATGAAGGTTTTTTTTTCGTAAATATTCATTCTACAAAAAAAAATGCTTGGATGCTATAGTCCATTATTAGAACTAACATTACATTTGTTGTCAGAAAACATGCAGAGGATGCATGAAATCCACCCTTACATTTGATGGGTCATTTGTTTTGGTGTAAGAAAGTCCCCCTTAAACTGTAGGCAGTGCATCAAACCAAGTCTCTATTTGTGCCGTTTGCCCAAACACAGCCGTTTGGCTGAAAAGCACTGAGTCAAAAATAAATAAATCAAATAATTATCTCTGCGTCCCATTTCAGTAAGCTGCAACTTCAGAAACATAGGATTATAAGCCTGTGGAATAAATTCACATTGCAGTGCAATATTATCTTAAAATTGCATGGAAACAATAGGCTACTTTAGAATTTGATTGAACCGCCACATATTGTTAAAAAAAAATATGGTGTACTGGCCAGTTATTGCATCCGGGCTTAGGCTCGTCCAGTTAATTCTTATAAAAAAGCAATCATGATCAGTTAATTAAAACAAAGCACATCATGTTGATTGGAATCATAGAACTGAGTGTTTTTTTTTTTCATTATACGCAAGACCACTGTACAACCCTTGCTAGCGGCTTTCTGAGTCGTGGTTAACCAAGATGCCACCTCACTAGCTAACACGCCGCTTAGGGCGCACCCTCCTTTCACGCCCTAAGCAAGCACTTAAAAATTGATTCGAATTTCACCATAAACACACTAACACACACGCCATCCTCATTCGCCTTACCGTTCCCCCGCATTATCCTCCAATCCCTGAACCATTCTTCAATCTCTAAAATTCCTTCTCTCACCCAACTGATCGTAACGCTGTCCGTCCGTCGTAACGATGATGATCTAATTCCTTCTAGCACAGCGCACGGTTGCCTTCTTCCTCACATGTATCGATCGAAACTCTGATTAACAACAAAATCCAATAATCCTAACCAGCTTTAATTGGGATGATCTCCCCCCTCAAACTCGCTTCCGAAAGCCACAACCCCTCCTCCCACTTACCCGGTGTAACTCTGTGCGGCTGGTTACGACCATGCCCCCAACCAACCCGCCCACCCAATTTTCCTTGTGGTTCCCAGAAAACGTGTGTGTGTTAGCTGTATTTATAATGTCAAATCATCTTAGTCTCTATCCTTGTTCCAGGTCAGACAGTTTTGAAGGACATTGGCAGGCAAATTCCGCAAACTTTTTGTCCCCAAAATTGCGTGTGTAAATATGGCAGATAGTGCCCTCGATGACGAACGTATGCGTGCAGTGTGCAACTCTTCTACCGCGTGACGCAGTAAATTCCGGTGTGCCATCCCCCAACGTCCCCCGTCCCCCCATCAGTGAGTGCGTGTATGTGAGCCCTAAGTGGAGCGAGAGAACCGATCCAAGCCGAGCGCGTGCGTGAATAGTTTTGTCGACATCCCAGTGAAACCGTAGTCTACTATTATTACTCAACGCCATCATCGATCCAAGTGACACGCACTACCCGTGCTTCACAAAAACAGCGTGCATGCATCGAAACAGAGTAAAAGCAGCGAAAACGGAATCGTCCAGTGACGGAAGCTCCGAACTGACAAAACGTCCGCAGTGTATGTAGTGAAACAAATTCGTTCTAGTTGTGTTTTTTTTTATATGTAGAGTTTAATGAAAACAAATTTTTATACTTCTCTTGTATATTAAGTAGTTATATAAATTGATGAGATACACCCTGCGCAATAGACATTCACGGAGGATTAGTTAAATTATTATCATTACGATTCAGAAGAAGAAGAAGAAATATTTATGAAAACAAATGTTCAGAAAGCGTAGAGTGCGAGACAGTTCGGGACATTGTGGAGCTGCATTTGGAAGATTAGATTTGTGTGATTGAGACGGTCAAGACGGCGAAATAGAGCGCTGATAGATGGGATGTACGAGGATGCCGGAGCAGGATTGCACATTTAGAGGGGCAACATTGAATCAAAACAAACAGATACAGGTGAGACAAACTGGAAATTGAATCATTATAATGGAATTATTTATGTTTTAATATATTTAGAATGTTTTCCCCTCGTGTATATATTTGTTGGAAATGTGAAAATTACAGTTTATAGGTACTGATTACTAACATAGAAAGTTGTTATCAATGTCACTGATTTCAACCAAACTTGCCAAAATGCTTATTTTTATAGTCTAAGAAAAAACCTTCTTGGATTTTGCTTTAAAGTACTTGGTTCTTGGCTGCAACCCTGGATTTTAAAGATTTTTTTAGGAATTATATCTTTGAATAGTGATTACTCCGTGGCCGAACATGTTGTGTTCTTGAACCACCACTTTGAAGAGTTTTCAATATAATATATAAAAAAAAATATTTGTGATATTCAAACAACAGCAAAGCGCACTATCTAACTTATCTACTAGATGTGTTCCGAAAAGAAAATGTTTGAACAGATGCTAGGTTTTCCAATATGTAGAGGGAATTTCAGTTCAATTTCTCGCGCGGTTTGAAAAAAGCCCCTTCTTAATAATTTGGATATCTTTTAATAATCTCAAAAATCCAGGGTTGTAGCCCAGAGGGAACAAAATCCAAAAAGGCGTTTCTTAGTATATCAAAATAAGAATTTTTCAAAGTTTGGTTGAAATCGGTGACATTGACCACAACTTTCTATACACTTGAGCTGGAATGACCCATATAACCTTTTCTCACACGGCAGTACTGCGTGAACAGGTTATATACTTTTGTCCGCAGAGTGAAAACCCAGATCGAACAAAAGTATTTAACTTACATCCAAAGTGTTTTTTGTTACTTCATAAGTGAAGTTTACGATTTTCAGAGTTGGTTGGAAATGCTATCTAACATGAAGCTTTAGTGATAATTTATTAACTAGAGAAAGGTTTGAAGAGGATAGGTTGATAGTTCCGCTAGAGTACGGCATTATGAAAATTGAATATAAATTGAAAATGAGCGAAGGGTCATTAATGCGACAGTACTAGCATAGAGGTAAATCTAAGACTAGAAGGTCCCGAAATAATGTGCTCAACTTTTTGGCTCAGCTCTGGTACTCTCTTCGGTCCCAAGCTAATCGATTCACCCCTCGAAACATAGGAAAAACCAATAACCCCTCATTTTATCTGTCAATCTTTCATAGCGAATCAAAACAAACATTGCGTCGTACTAGAATTTCGACTAGAATGGGATACGTTAATCGTTTGCTTGGGACCAATAGGCTAGTCAAGTAGTGAGCCAATTATAAAATCATTAGCTTCGTATTGATTGTTGGTACTAGTCAAACGCACACTCCTTGACCTAGCTCATTCATTAATGGATGAGAAGACTTGAAGTATTTCTACAAATCTACTCCAAGAAATTCAATTTTTAAATAGGTTATTTAAAAAATAAGTGTTTTGCTACAAATGCTAAAATTCAATACGATTCAACGAATTACCAAACATAATAAATTAAAAATAAAGTCCACACTTCTATTATCCCCAAGACATGATTTTACTCTACACACTAGCGGTGAATAGTACACTGTAAATTGAGTGCTTAGCAATTGACAGCTCATACTCAACAAGGCTACCGAAAACAACACACAGTTGAGTAAATTTTTTCTCAGAAACAAGGTTGCAAAGACTCATTTCAGCTAAAATAATGTTTTTCGGAATAATAAAACCAAAAGATGGTATGATGGCATGTTTTACTTGTAACTTACAAGAAGAGGTTACAAAGTATGCGTTGGAAACATAAAACCTGTAAATTTTGCTTTTTATGAGTCACAATCAGCGATTTGCTGATCGTTGAGTGAGTGAGTGAGTGAGTGAGTGAGTTTGTGAAAAATCGCTGATTGTGACTCTCATGAAGTGAAATAAACAGGTTTAATATGTCAAACACATTCTTTGCAACCTCTTCTTGTATCCTACCAATTCAAAATTTGATCATGGCATCTAATTATTTCATAATTTAGAAAAACATTGTTTTAGCTGAAATGAGTCTTTGCAACCTTGCTCAGAAATATGGTAAATTACCTGTTTACAATCTTATTGAAACTGAGTGAGACGAATTATATTTAATCTTAGATGTCTGTTGTAAATTGAGAGCAAAATATTCACTAAAGAAGCGTTAAAAGCCTAGAAAAAGTTAATGCTACTCAATATAAAGTTGTTTTCATGGACCATGTACCGCCAATATCTGTCAATTGCTCTGTAAACTCACCATATAAACTATCTTTATCGTTTTTTCCCTGATTAAATTTCTTGAAAAAAAAACGTAATGGGTCGATCGTTTTGCGCAGTTTCTGGATGTTCCAGCTCAAAAGAAGGCCCTTCCAGTATTTTCTTCCGAATTCTTCAGAAAGCTATAAACAGGTAAACAGGTTTCCAAATATTGTAAATTTCAGCTAAGCCATGTTTCGGTTTACTGAATATGACTAGTAACTAGAACAACATGTGAAAAGGACCTATGTGTCAAATGTAAACAATTACTAAAAAAACGTCGATTTCTCGTGAATACAGACTCATTCTGGCAAACCGACACCAGCATCTGAAGGAAAAGTTTGCTCTATCAGATGATATAGTTAGTTTGCGTAGGAATGTTGTAATTAATGAACAATCGACATTTAAATGCATTGTTTACGTTGGGCTTATATATCCTTTTCACATGTTGCTCCAGCAAAGTTGGGTTAATGATTCTTAGCGTGTTGAAAGTTTGCTTTCTGTCAGTTGGCAATCTGATCTATAAATAGGGATGGCAGATATAATCCGCCTTTTTTTTTTTCTTTTTTTTTTAACTCTTTATTTGTTCCAAATTCAAAATAAATTACATTTCATTTTTAACCTAGGTGCTCCAGTTACTACAGTAACTTACCAGCCTTAATTGTTATGATATATATCTAAGTGTTTTTACATTGTTCCTGTCTTGGCAATTCAGTATTTTAAACAGGTTTTTTAAACCTGCATGTCAGTATAACAATTGATAGCTTAAAACTAAATAACTAAAACTAAATCTTATCTAAGTATAAAGGGAATTAATCGTTGCAATTGAGGATTGTAACGATTTTTGCCGGAAATTAATAATTATTTTGTTGGACATTTGTGCTAAAGTCTCAACATTCGAAATTCTATGTACTTCGGTAGTACTGTACCAGGGAGGCAACTTCAAAATCATCTTCAGAACTTTGTTCTGAATCCTTTGAAGTGCTTTTTTCCTGGTAGTGCAACAACTAGACCATATTGGCACAGCGTAAAGCATGGCCGGTCTAAAAACTTGTTTAAATATTAGAAGTTTATTCGTCAGGCAAAGTTTGGATTTCCTGTTAATAAGAGGATACAAACATTTTATATATTTGTTACATTTGGCTTGAATGCCCTCAATGTGATCTTTAAAAGTTAATTTATGGTCAAGTATTAATCCAAGATATTTCACTTGGTTTGACCAGGAAATTGGAACTCCGTTCATAGTGACTATGTGACTACTACTAGGTTTCAAAAAGGAAGCCCTGGGCTTATGTGGAAATATTATAAGTTGAGTTTTGGAAGCGTTGGGAGAAATCTTCCATTTTTGTAAATAAGAAGAGAAAATATCTAAACTTTTCTGCAGTCTGCTGCAAATAACACGAAGACTTCTTCCTTTAGCGGAAATGCCTGTGTCATCAGCGAACAAAGATTTGTGGCAACCCTGAGGCAAATCAGGGAGGTCCGAAGTGAAAATGTTATACAATATAGGCCCAAGAATGCTACCCTGAGGAACTCCTGCTCTAACAGGTAGTCGATTAGATTTGGAATTTTGATAATTTACCTGCAGAGTTCTGTCAGTTAAATAATTTTGAACTAATTTCATAATGTAAAGTGGAAAATTAAACTTTTTCAATTTAGCAATCAAACCTTCATGCCAAACACTGTCGAATGCTTTTTCTATGTCTAGAAGAGCAACTCCAGTTGAGTGGCCTTCAGATTTGTTTGAACGAATTAAATTGGTAACTCTCAAGAGTTGATGAGTAGTTGAATGCCCATGGCGAAATCCAAACTGCTCATCTGCAAAAATTGAGTTCGTATTGATGTGAAGCATCATTCTATTCAAAATTATTTTTTCAAAAAGTTTACTTATTGAAGAAAGCAAACTTATTGGACGGTAGCTAGAAGCTTCAGCTGGATTTTTATCCGGCTTCAAAATTGGAACAACTTTTGCATTTTTCCATTTATCAGGAAAGTATGCCAAATGGAAACATCTGTTAAATAATTTTACCAGGAAAGACAAGGTACTCTCTGGGAGTTTTTTGATGAGGATATAGAAAATTCCATCATCACCTGGAGCTTTCATATTTTGAAATTTTTTAGTTATAGACCTTACTTCGTCCAAATCAGTCCCCCAGGAATCATCAAAAATATTTTCCCGAGAGAAAATATTCCGAAAATCCCGAGCAACCTGATTCTCAATAGGACTAGTAAGACCCAAACTGAAATTATGGGAACTCTCGAATTGCTTAGCAAGTTTCTGAGCTTTTTCCAAATTTGTGATCAAAATTTTACCACCTTCTTTAAGCGCTGGAATTGGCTTTTGAGGTTTTTTCAAATTTTTTGTGAGTTTCCAAAAGGGTTTGGAACTCGGGTCTAATTTAGAAACATTATTTTCAAAAGTTTTGTTCCTCAGGGCAGAGAATCGCTTTTTAATTTGTTTTTGCAAATCCCGCCAGATAACTTTCATGGCAGGATCGCGTGTTCTTTGAAATTGTCTCCTACGGACATTTTTAAGACGGATCAAGAGCTGAAGATCATTGTCTATTATAATTGAATCGAATTTAACCTCGCATTTTGGTACTGAGGCAGCTCTTGCTTCAACTATAGAAGTAGTCAGAGATTCAAGAGCATAATTAATTTCATCTTTGGTTTGCAAAGGAATGTTTGGATCGAAGTTATATTCCATAAATGTTCGATATTGCTCCCAATCAGCCCTGTGGTAATTGAAAGTAAAGCTGTTGGGATTAGAAATTATTTCTTGGGATA